AATGTCTATCAGGGATGGTCTAGACAGTATTTGGTCCTGCCATGAGGACAGGGGACTGGACTCGATGACCTCTCGAGGTCCCTTCCTGTCCTAGAATCTATGAATCTATAGTGCATGGATACAAATGGATTCATATTATACAGGACCAATATTACTCTTAAAAAGTAAAGATGGGCTCAGATCAATATCCCCCATCTGAATTTTGGTGAAGTTTTAATCCAGATCTGAAATTTGCAGTTATATCCTCATCAATATAATGGCCTTTTATCCAAACACTTGGAAACGTTTGGCTCCATACCTGAGCCACAACTTTCTAGCTCTGATCCCATTCTGCTCAAAAGGTCCCCAGTGTTAGTACACATTGTAACTACAATGCTACATAGACATCATTATTCTTTTGGTGCTTAGTTACCAATAAGGTCCAAAGTCCTGAAGTCCTTTCATGCATAAAACTCCCTCTAAAGTCAATCGGATTTTTGTATCTTCAAGAGCTGCAAAGTTAGGTGAAATATACTACTCCACTGACGGAGTGCTCTATGGAAATCTCCTGGAAGGTATCCTTACAAAGCTTTGTTCCTGTGGGTTTCGCCACCTTATGAAGGAGGGGGTGTTGTGGTACCAAATGTAGCTTTCATTTGCTGTCAGCAGAGATGTTTTTGGGAGGAGCACCCAAAAAGATAAAGAGAAAATTGCCAGCTATTTGTAACAGATTTCTAACTGTATTTCTTCACTTGCATCTGAAGAAGTGAGGTTCTTACCCACGAAAGCTTATGCTCCCAATACTTCTGTTAGTCTCAAAGGTGCCACAGGACCCTCTGTTGCTTTTTACAGATTCAGACTAACACGGCTACCCCTCTGATACTAACTGTATTAGTTTTTTTCCAATCTTGTTTAACTTTTTCCTCCTGCATTAATGTCTCCAATGTTGTCATAAATGTTGTGGTCCCAAACTGGCAGAGCAGTAACTTTAGTCAGATGGGTTTGAGGTTGAAGGATCGGACCTTGAGTGAGCATGAAGTGCTGGGTTCCTTGCACATTCCAAACTCCCACTGATTTCAGATGGTGTTTTGAGTGCAAAAGGAATGCAGGTTCAAGCCCCCAAAAGTCTGTTTCCCCTTCCCAAGTCACAAAATCTACATCAGGAATCACTCAAGTGTGTTTCAGAACCAGGGTTAAAAAGGAATGATACGTATATAATACTTTACAAATATTAACTAATTATACTCCTTGGAAGTACCATAGGTCCATAAGGACTGTTATCCTCATGCTACACATGGAGATACTGACACACACACAGCTTGAGATTCACATTTTCAAAAGCAGTCTCCTATTTTTTGTGGTGCCTCAGCTACTGGATGCCCATCTTGAGACAGGTAGGAGTCACAAGCTAGCCACATAAACACTGGGCACACACTTAGAGACAGCTTCTGAAAAATTGTGTCTCAGAGTGAGAACTAGGATTAAAAATCCAGAGCTGCTGGCTCCCAGCCCGTTGCTCACACTACTCACATCACTAATTCCCCTAAAATCACATTGTGCCTCCAGCATTTAAAATCAAGTCTATCTTTCAGTATGATGGGAAAAAAACATATTATGGTGCCTGGGTGTGGTGCTGTGTCAGCATGTAGATGTGGAAAGATGGGGAGGAAGATAGAGGGAAAAGGTCAATAAAACAGTAAAAATAGAAATCATGGCTAGTTCTAGTATTTCAGCCCCAGGGGCTCTTTCAGGATGAAATACAGTACTTTTGTTTTCTTTTTCTTATTTCCCCCCTCCCCCCGCCAGCCTCAAGAAGGCTTCAGGGCTAAGGTGTCATCTGTAACCTTTTCCTCTCTCCATATTTTTTATGTCTGTCACACACTTTTTAAAAGATTCCTTCAAGCCCTGCTCCATCCTGCCAGGGGACTGCTCATGAAATGAGGTACAATTCCATAAGAGTGAGGGCAGAAGAATCTGGTCCTGTCTTCAGTGCCATATCTCATAGTGGGCCAGATTCAGATGCTCTTGCTATGCTGAGTTGCACCTTATTCTATGAAAGTGATGGGCTTGCCCAAAGAGTAAATTATTACTTAACTGGATGTGGGGGAGAGGGAAGAATTGAGAGGGAAGAACCCAGTGTTCTGAGTATGGGCCAGACTGTGCCCAGCCCTGAGTGCATGCCCAGGAGTGGGGACAGGATGCAAGGATCCTCTTTCTCATCCTACCCAGCATAGGGGCCAATCATAACCGCAGTCCTTGCTCTCAATGAATGAAGGTAGCCCCCACAGTAACACCAGCCTCTCACACAAGTCAGAGAGGGGTCCACGCCTCACCACACCAGCCACTAATGGAGCTGTCACTTCTGTGGTGAGGGTGAGGATAACCACACCCTGCCTGTCTAGAAAAGTGCACCAGTGCCTATGCCCCAGACATCCCACTGAGCCTGGGAGGTTACACACCGCTTCCAATGAAGTCACTATCCCAATACCCCTGTGTGCTTAAAACCACAGCTGAGCTCTTAGATTGTTGGCTCTTTGGGGGCAGGGACCTGTTTGTTTTGTTTGTGAGAGTGCATTAGCGGGTGCAATGCAAATACTACAGGTCCCCAGGGTTTGAGCTGGTGTTACTGGTGAAGAGTAACATTCAGTGCTTAAAGTGTGTGTGTGTGTTTGGGGGAGGGGGTAACATGCAATGCTTAAAGTGCGTGTGTGTTTGGGGAAGGAGGGTAACATTCAGTGCTTAAAGTGTGTGTGTGGGGGGGGGAGGGGGGGGTCACAAGGGATCACAGACCCAGCAAAACATCACATGAAATAAAATAAAACCCAGCCAAGGTCGCTGAGGGGTGCACTTTAAGCACTGTCTGACCAAAGCTGCTATTCCCAGCTTGTGACAGGCTCCCCCACACTTTGTTCAGACCACTTTCAGCGGCACACGTGCTCTTGCATTTGTAAGTGGGCACTTGGGTTGCTTTTGCTGTTTCCCCCTGTGGGTAGTAAACCTCAGAGGGACTCAAACAGCATAAATTATTCTTCAATAATCAACTTTTGTCCCCCTTTCACTAGAGACGCTTCATGCAGATGGGCCATCCATCTTCGGGCTGTCTCTTAAAAGTGTCAAGCCGCCACCAGCATTAAAAAGATTCACAGAGCCGCTCTAATCCAGGCTTCAAACCCCCTTTTATTCTTGTGTGTGAAACTTCGGGAGAAAGGGGGGAGGGAGGGGGAAGCTGCCTAGTAACTCCAGTAGGAGGGTTGGTTGACACAGGACACAGCAGACAAAAGAGGCGGAACTACGTGGCTTCAGTTCAAAAGGAGAGCTCAGGCTTCTTGCAAAAGCATCAGTCCGTGCAAGGGACAGAGTGGGAGTAACTTCCATGCAGTGCAGGGCTCCCATCACAGAGAGCCCACTTAGGAGCTCGCCCCGCGGGGATGACACACGCATGCTGCTGCTGCTCGGCGAGCACTTTGTCATTTGCCAGCCACTGCCCATGGACGAGGCAGATCGGGCCACTGAGCGAGTAACGTCCGGGGGGGTTATTTGCTTTCCTGCAATGGCTCCAGTGACAGATCCGAACAAGTGGGAGCGACGCTGATCTCCATGGAGCCCCCTCCTGCCTCTGGCTGCTGCACCGGCTGCTGTGTGTGAAGCCGCCCCAGCCAGGACGGACCATGAGGGGCGTCTTTGGCTTCAAGCGGCTGAGGCTGAAGATCTGGAGGAGATGCACGCTCCTGTTCTTCCTCTGCTGGGCTGCCTGCTGGCTGCTGGGCAGCACCTTCCTCTTCCTTGTCCACAGGAGCGTCTTCTCGGAGCGCTGCACGGACGAGAAAAGCCACAGGATCCTGGCGAGGCTGGTATGTCCCCGCGCGCTTGCAGAGTGAGGCTGGCATGGCAAGTACCAGGTCAGCAGCACAGCGAGTGACACGCCGCGGTCAGCGCCAGGGCCCTAGGAGGCCACTTTGCTCATTGATCCCCCTGCACAGTCGGTGTGATCCCCCCACCCACATATCCCCTTTAAGATCCCTGAGTCTGTTTCCATTTCTCTCTCATTAAATAGGAGAAGCAGGGGGAGAATGGAGCCCACGGACGATGCCTCAGTTCTTGCACTCCGGGGTTTAAAAAGGCAACGCGTAAAACGTCCCGAGTTTTTAATTACTATTTTTTAAACTCATAGTATTTCCTTGTCATTATGATATTTGAATGTCTTCATTTTACTTTGTGCAAAATATGGTCCAAGCATCGTTCTTTGCAATACAGAGTATTGGGAACCAATGAATGTTTGATGCAACGATACTAGGTCCGTGAATGTGCTAATGGGAAAGGCAAGTACCTCTGGTTGATGGAGTAATCTTAAGGGAGAGAGCAAAGCAGCTGAAAAAGGGAATTGGGCTGAAGAGCTACCACTTGCAAAGGCTTTACAATGCTGACTGCATTTTACTCCTTCTACCCAGCAGGGTAATGTCAATTCAACAAGACAGAGCACTTAGTTGGTTGGACTAAAATATTTCTAAAGCATCTTCTAATGGATTTTAAAAGATAGGGGAGTAAAGGTTCTGGGAGTTAAAACATCTGCAGACCATATTCAGCTCTTCGTTGGTACTGTAAAACAAGATAGCCCAATCCTTTAGGTTAGCTGATCCAAGATGCTGCTGTTTGAGATATGTGCAGCTATACTTCTGAAATATTTTAGAAGGGGTCTTCAACATTCCACATGCATTCAAATATAAGGTGATTTCTCGACAAGCTTTTTAGGCAGAGATCACATTCGGTTCAGAAATCATCTTCAGGGTATGGTACACCACCTTTGTTTTTTTTTTTCCTGATAGGGGATATTTTAAAATATTTATTTAAAAAAAATCAAGAAAGCATGTGAAACTATTCAGTCAAATGTGGTGATTTGAAATTCTGTAGAGAAGAAATGTGGAGCAGTATGGGTTAAAATTAAAAGCCTGGATCTTTTTTGTAAAGGCTTGGGTTAAGTGGAAAAAAATCCAAATGGAAATTAAATAATCTATTATAGTAGCAAGCAACTCATGATCATAAATTTTCCTACCTTCTAGATAACTAAGGAAGACTAATTATACACAGCAGCCTTGCCAACTTATTTTAAGCAGCAATAGCTACATTCACATTTCCCTCCCAGGGCCTGAGCCCTGAGATTTCAGGCCATTTGGACACTTGTCTCTGCCAGTGTTTCGCCAGACACCAGTGTGAACTTAAGTAACCACATAGCAAAGAGGTGTCTCCAGTCCATTGGCTGAACTTGATGGGAGCATTTCCCCAGCTAAGACGTGAAAAAGGATCATCATTGTCCATAAGCAATGGCTCTAATTGAACCAAAAAGGAACAGCTTCCTGGGGGAGCCAGTAGGAACTGAGCTCACCTTCTGTTAGCTGGGAGTTGCTCTGTGTACATGTTCTAAGCACCACACTTGGTTTCACGGTTATAGGCAATGCAATTCAGCTACAGAATAACCCTTTTGTGAGCAGAGATCCTCCTGTCATGAAAACTCACTTTCCCAGCCTTCCATCCCATCCTTTTTCTGAAGCATGGGACATGTTTGGTGATATGGAAAATATAATATGAGGACAGTGTTTTCAGTGGGCAACAAGATGAAAGTGACCTGTTGTAATCCAATGGGCGAGGATACTTGGTTACGTTCCCTTCTATTTTGTAGTGGTGCTTTTTAGTTTCTCTCTCAGGGTGAAATTCGTACCTGTGTAGAGGGCAAGCACAAGAAATGCACACCACTTCAGTAGGGTGTAGGTGGTGCATATCTTTTAAACATCACCCCGAAGTGTAGGACTTTTGATTTATTACTACTGATCTCCCATTCATTACCTGCAGCCTGACCCCCACCATTACCCTGATTACTCTACAGCACTTTCCAGTTGGTTTCTGTGCTCCTTGTAGGACTTCTCTGATTTTGGAGTCTTCCATAAACTTGCTCACAGTAGAATTTACACCAGGAAAGACAGGAGGCTTCAGACCTGATCTACACACAAAGTTGCACTCATGTAACAGAAAGTATGATTTTAAACCAAATTAGTTAAATTGGTGCAAAACTGTGTGGACTCTTTTACACTAATTTAAACCTGGCTTATTGGGTTAGCTTACATGGGTAACTTTGCAGGTGCTAGTTAAACTGATATAACCAGTTTTAAACAGATATAAATAAACGCAGTTCACAGGAGGGGTTGAACTTTTTTAACTAAAATTGTTTTAGTTACTGAATTAAGTTAAAGTGCTGCAACTTCTGTATGTGGACAAGCCCTCTAAAATTGCAGAGAGGTACCTGGCATTTTTTGGTTTGTTTGATATGGTTTTAGTTAAATTGGGCAAAAAGCCTCTGGAAACCCTAATTCCTGAAGCTGATCTACAATTTGCAGGAAATGTCACTGCTCAAAGTCTGACATGTATTTCACCACTGTGACATTAGCAGCTCCGCCGTCCACTACGGACCATGGTTTAAGAAACACCGTGAAAGCTCAATAAAGAAGAATCAAACTGGAGAATGCATGACTGGCAGATGTTAGGTTAATAGGCACAGATCAACAATTCAGTTGCACAGAAAGTATAGACTTAGAGATATTCCTTCCCCATTACAGAATGGATTCATCTCCCATGTTTGGGGGTTGTAGACGTGGCTGTATATTTTGCATAGTCACGTTCTTATGAAATACCAATAAGAATGATACAGCAACTACAGCAGATACTGGAAAGCATACTATGTTTTTCCATGTCTCACTGCTGGTTTTCTAGGTGTGAGCTCTTCTAGACCTCAATTGGATCCATGCATGAGACTCTTGCGGATGCATGGAGCCCTGTTGAAGTCAATGGGGCTCCAGGCAGGATGCGTGGATCTGATTGCAGGACTGGGACCTATAGTTTCCTAATAGTAGTACTGTACGTGTTAGGCTGTGATCTTCACATTCAGGAAGCAAAGCTCTTTGATCAGCTAATACTAAGGCTCCTTAAAAAAATAAAAATAAAAATAAAAGGACTTTGGTGTGTTACCCTCCTGCTAGGAGTTGTTTAAAGTTAAGGTCGCAGATTGTAGGAATTATTAAACTACTTCAACAGAGAAAAAGTAAGTTTCTTACTTGTAAGAGAGAATGATGACTTGTTATTAGATACCTCAAAAATGAGGCCAGAATTTCAAAATTGCACATGCACTTCTGGAGTCACCAAAGTTATGTGCACGTGGACTGCAATGTATGTGTCCATCCTGATTTGCATGCATATACAGTATATGTATGGGAGGACACAAAATCAGGGCATACACATGCACATAAGAGTTTGTGTACCTGGTTCTTCTTTCTGGCATCTATCAATGCAACATTTTCTTTCAGGCTGTGAGAGCACAAGTGGTACCTGTCATACCTGTCCTTCTAATGTCACAAGAATCACTGGCTACTATGTAGTATGATAACCAGTTCATCACCTCTTCATTCACCCCTTGCACCACTACTGGACTTAAAATTCCATCCTGCCACTAATACCCAAAGCCCCCAGTTGACAATGTTACCAGTTCACTGTTATTCCCTGTGCTAACTGGAGAATGTTTACACAACAAAAATAAAATATCAATTTTGGTGAGTGTTTAAAAATATATATATATATATTTTTTATATTTAACTTTCAATCTTGTCTAGCATCGCCCCGGTGCACACCTCAGATACTATTTTAAGAAAATAACAGCACTCGAATGTTATGATCATGTTTCCTGTACACAGAACAAATAGTAACAAGTTAGGTTGGTCAGGCAGTCTTTACAACTATTAAACAGTTGGAAGTGTCAATTTACTTGTTTAAACAAAAGTTCAAATGCCAGAAAGCAATGAGGGCAACCGATGTTATCAAGCCACCTCCCAGCTGTTTGGCTTCCTTCATCAACACAAACTATTCTCCCTCCACCCCACATCTGTGATCATCTTGTCCACTGATCCACCCCAACAGTCTCTGCAGCTGCACTTCTGGAAGTTCTGAATGGACGCAAAAGTATGTAAGCTGCCTATATGTCTAGAAGTGGAGGAATGGAAACAATTATGGGGGGGGGAGGTATCCTTTTAGTTCTTTTATGCATTTGTAATGACCACACAATGATCAAGAAGCAATTTCCCTGGGTTTTTTAAATCAAGATTACCCAAAGTGCATTAAAATTACCTAAGGATATCTGATATGTACGTCCATACATTTTAAAGCATGTTAATTTGCCTGACAGACCTTAACTGAAGAAGCCTTTCTGGCTTACAGAATGCATAAATATATTTATATTTATATATTTAAAAAAACCTGCATATTCTGGGCTCCATAGACTGTATCTGCTGCTGTCACCTATCTTATATTATTGGGGGGAAGAAACCCTTTTTCATATTGGGTAGTAACTCAGTTTACAAATAGTCCCATCGACTTTGATGGGATTTCACATGGAATAAGATCTTCACATGAAATTTACAGGAAAAGAGACAGAGCAGTATAAGGGGCTGTAAAAGCCCCGGATCCAGTTGGAGGAGAATTCCCCCAGTGCAGGAACTGAGGATGCTAGCCACAGGCCATCTTCTGAGTACCCCAGTCCCTCATGAGCCCTGAAGCAGAGGTTATTTGGGAGCGTGGCTGGGCTGGGAGGGGCAGATTGGGGGTAGGGCAGAGGCACATAGTGCTGTGGAGATTCTGGGCAGTGCTTCCACCCATAAGGAGATGAGGACAGACTGCCATAACTCAGATAGGGCTATGTAAATTATCCTGGGGTGTCGACAAAGGTATCAAAATCTGACACATAGATATTAGAGATGGCAAACACCTAGTATTGTAGGTCTTCTATGCTAGCCCTTTACCTGGCCAGAGAAAAAACAGTCCCTCTACTGTCATAAGAATCACTCCTTTGAAGTGATCTCCAGGCACATTTGAAAAATCACAGCGTTACCTTAGAGTCTAAATATGGTGTTTGTCACACTGTAACTGAGATGACCCTTGCTCCTTTTCTCCCTGAAATGCTCCTAGACTATTCTTCTGCTGTGAACTGTTTTCTTCCTTTGCTCTAGTGTCTTGACTACAGCAAAGGAGCCCTGACTGGCGACCTTTGTGAAGACTTGTGTGTGACACAGAAGCTGGTGTACAAACAGTGCCTTTACTACGACAGAGGTAAGAAGGTCATCCAGGCGGACTGGAAAGGCCAGCCAGTCATCTTGAAATCCAAAAAGGAAATCTTCTCTAGCTACCAGCGTCTCAGATTGCTTGATGAAGTGGAAACACCGGATATTCCTGAGACAGAGCTTCTGCTGATGGTAGCTTTGGAGGTCAAAAATGTACTGGGTCTGGAATTATCTAACAACACCATGGGACCCTTATGGACTAGGAGGAGAGATCTGCATTGGAAAGCACAAGTGGCCAGCATGTGGTCCTTACTCCAGCAGGAAGAATATATCTACTTCAGTCTACTGCAGGACTTCAGCAAACACGTCCTACGGGTCATCGGCTCCTGTGGCCACTTCTATGCTGTGGAGTATCTCACAGCCGGACATGCCTGGCACAAAACTATTTTTCCTTTGGAGGATGCAGTTGGTCCTTCCTTCACTGGCACTAAACGCAAGGTGAAGGCAATAACTGACATTGCACTCAGCTTCCTAGATATGGTGAATCATTTTGATAATGATTTCTCTCACCGGCTTCACCTGTGCGATATCAAACCAGAGAATTTTGCTATCAGAAATGATCTCACGGTAAGTTAGTACTTCGGTTGTGTTGTCACAGTTTAAGATCAAGTTATGAACTGAAAAGAGCGTATGAAAAAAATGCCACCCCTAGTCATCAGAGCTGCTTCCTGAGTGCATTGAGAATCTAGTCACATATTTTAGTGCTAAAAAGCTACTTATTTGTTACTATTTCCTGCAAACCTCAAACTGGCAAAGAGAAGAGTTGAGTTCTGTTCTTTCTTGTGCATTATGAAAAGAACTGTTTACTTAATTGTAAGTAATTACACCTGTGCAACCCCAACAGGCTTGCTCAGGTGTTACTGAGGACACCACTTGAAGGAAGTGACTTTGCAGAGCTGTCACAGGGGGCAGAATCAGTCCCACAGAAACTATTGCTGGGGGTGATGCTCAGGAAGACAAGAACTCAGTTTGAATGTCAAGAAAAGGCTTGAGTTTGCAGGACTGAGAGTTAGAGAAAAACATCTTTTGTGCTTTTACCCTGAGCACATTAGATCTGGAAACAATTGAAAAGCAATAGATCTGGAACCGCATGACGCCATTCTTGCAGAGTCACCTTTCAACTTTTCAGCGTAGAGCTGTTCTTTAAGATTGAAGGATTATATATGTTTAGAATGTAGTGGTATTGTTAACCACATTTCTGGACATATTTTGCATTCATTCTGCTTGCAGAAATTCAATTGATTTCAGTGGAAATTGAGTGCATACACTCAAGACACTGTATATACATAGTGTGTTCAAACCATGCATGCAGTTTCCAGTGAGATCAATGGAATTTCTGCACTCATAATGAATGTAGAATACTTACAGAAATATGACTGCTAATATCAATACTTACCAAGCATCCATATAACACTTACATCTTCAAACTGCTGTACAAATATTACCTAAGCCTATAGCTGTTGAAAGCAATTTGAGTGCTTTCCCCTCACCCTTCAATTAGCTTTTATTGTTTATTCAGGTGCAATATGGGAGTTGAGTAGGGAATAGTTGGAGAATTTCAGAGAAAAGCTAAAAATATCCCATAACTTCAGCAGAGGAAGACACAATAGAGATTCCTCAGGATAGGTTTTGCCTACCATCTTTTCAGTCAGATGCAGCATGAATGCTACACGTGCTATCATTGGACCTGACTGAGCATACATGGTCAGTTTTGGTATCTGCTCAGGGGACAAGAGATTTCACCGAGGAGGAGTGAAAGAATATTGAGAACTTTTCATTACAAGACCTTTTAGTGAAAGACGGTTCTCCCTGATTCCTTCCTACCATCTGTCAGAGAAAAACAAGTCCTCACTGAGTTTGAAGCAACAAGCAACAGAGGCAGCTTTATTTTCGAGCAGTTGCAAATGCATGGGAGAGTACACAGGGGCAGGTCTCAGTTAGATAAACAATTAAGGCAAACTTTTATATCTTTCCTCGCATACAATAATGAGCAACAGCTGCATTTTGTGATACGTATTTCTTCCTGATATCTCACTTTTCTCATTAATTTCTGCTACAGTCTACATTCCATTCTTATCTAACACAAGGTCAAGGGGACAAGAGATTTCAAGGTCAAAACAGTATCTCTTACTGTCTGTTCCCATTCGCTTTCTTGCTTTCTACCCACCTAGGCCTTCAAGTCTCGTGTTATTAGAGTCAGTGTCAGCCTGACTTTGTTAGCTCGACTCTTGCGCTATTCCTAGAGACTAAGATCTCTATGTTCAAATTCCGTTTATCCCTTTCTCCACTTTCACACTTCTAGGTGTCCACAATGCCAGTACTCTCCCTCTGGAAGAGAAGAGTTGGACATGGCTCTTTCTGGAGCCTGGCAATGTCAATCAGTATTGGTTAGTGGAATTCTCTAAAAAGTAACGTGAGAAAGTGAGGGTAACTTGATGCCACCTTTGCACTCCCTTTCTGAGCTATCCCAGGATTCAAGAGCTGGCCCATTAAGTGGAGGGACTTGTCAAAGTTGAAATTGTAAATCAGAAAAAGGTTTTAGGTCTGGACTTGCAAGTTTTTAGTAGTGAGATTATCTGTTACACAAGCGATCTGAACAAAACCGATGTCTCTTTGTGAGAGTAATGACAACTCCCAGGAGTAAGGGGTTGGATAAGCTAATCTTAGATATCCTTTTATGTTCTAATTATTCTCTGGATATTATAAGCAAATCATTTTGCTTAAGGTTAGACAAATACCTGTCAGGGATGGTCTAGATAATACTTAGACCTGCCATGAGTGCAGGGGACTGGACTAGATGACCTCTCCAGGTCCTTTCCATTCCTATGATTTTATGATTCATTTTTTATCTTGTCATTTCTTGCATTTTATGATATAATAATAATATTAAAAAGAAGACTAGAAGAACGCACCTCCATCCCCATCCAACTGAAAACAAATGATGCTGCTAGTGTACAGAAAAACACATCTAGGGCAAAACAATCCTGCCTCTGGATTCATTTCCAGAATAACCAGCTAGATCCTCAGTGCTCACTCCAGCCTCCTTATGCTGCTCCTCCAATGCATAGCAGCTGGAAAGCTGCCCTAATAGAGTAGCTAGGGAAATTTTCAGCTGGCACAGAGATGGTGAAGCCATCTCTTTGCCACCCCCTTGGTATAGGGAACATGTTGTGGGGGAATGGAAGGGGAATGGAGCATGTTGCAGTCCCGTGGTGCTTGCCACCATACCAGCACCTGGGAGGCCACTACAAGCCAGCATAGGTTACAACAGCTCTGAGGCAGCTTTAATTTATGCCAGGGGACAAATTGGCTCCTGACTTCCCTCAGGACCCGGAGGGCCATTGCCCTGGGTCCTGCATCAAGCACGGTTTGGCCAGACATGAGGATCTGGCCCACTTCACATGTGAACAAAAATAACAATGTTTTTCCAATAGAATTTAAGAGTGAAACTACAGCAGGGACAAGGCACTACCGACACTAAGAAAGTAGACATATTTCTGATATTTACCTGCATGAACTTGTGAAATTCCCCAGGGTACATCACTCTTATCAAGCTTTCTAAGAAGCTTAAAGATACTTGGAGTTAAAAAGGTGTGTTTAGTTTCTCCAAGATCTGAGCTCCCCTCATGGGAAAAAAATTGCAAAAATTAGGACCTATCCTTGACTTTGGTTTGGAAAGTCCATTTGGCCTTTTGCCAGGTGCATACATCTAAAATTCCTGGGGTCATTCCAGCTGTCATTCAACCACACATTTCAGCTCTGCTGCTATTTGGGAGGCTTAGTTCTATAATTAAAGTTCTCCACAGAGTTATTGCAAATAGCTGTGCTTTGTCCATTTTCCAGACATTTCCATCTATACCAATTTACTTCATCTGTAACAGGTGGGCTTCTCTGAGTGAAGGTTTACATTGTTAGATGTTAAGGTTTAATGTAACTCACAGCATTCACAGCACTGAGGTGAGACTATTTTCACTTCACTGCCCACACTGTACGTGCCATAGCAAGCAGCTGTGATCACATAGATGGCTTTCCTTCTTCCCTTCTTTATTTTTGTAATTTTTAAGTAAAAGGGGTTATATTGCCAATCCTGGAGACTAAAATCTTCTACCTACATGACAGTTATGAATCAAACACCTGCAGAAGCAGTACGGTCCTTTTTGCATTGCACGTCCAATATTTCTTAAGCCTGAACTAGAGCAGTGATTCTCAACCAAGGGTCCGGGGCCCCCTGGGGGGCCACGAGCAAGTTTCAGGGGGGCTGCCAAGCAGGGCTGGCATTAGACTTGCTGGGTCCCAGGACAGAAAGCTGAAGCCCCACTACAAGGGGCTGAAGCCTGGGGTCCCTAGCCCCGCCACCTGGTGCTGAAGTCGAATCCTGAGCAACTTAGCTTTGTGGGGCCCCCTGTGGCGTGCGGCACCGGGCAATTGCCCTGCTTGCTACCCCCCAATGCCGACTGGCTTTTATATGCAGAAAAACAGTTGTTGTGGCACAGGTGGGCCTTGGAGTTTTTATAGCATGTTGGGGGGACCTCAGAAAGAAAAAGGTTGAGAACCCCTGCTCTAGAGGTCAGATGCTAGTTTAGGCTTCAGATCCATTTAGTCCTTATTCTCTCTGCTGACCATCAACCAAATGTGGAACACTGATGGATATGTTTCTAGATAAGCAGAGGGAGAACCATGAATGTCACTTGATGACATGAATGCCTATTCAAGGAGCAGGTATCCCCTGCATATCACAGAGCTCCCCTCTGCAAATAGCACATAGAAGAGGGAGTGACACTGGGTTATCATTACTGTAACTACTGTTAGCTAAGTGAAGTTGGGCCCACTCACCCCAGAGAGGAATTTTACTCATTGACTTTAAAGTGTTTTTCTGTTAGCCAGATATCTTATATATTGGCTGTTCTTGTTAAAAACAATTATATTTACAGGACTCTTGCTGTCCATCTGATAACAGAAAACTAGTTTATCACAGGTACTCATGTGACCCCAACAGTTTGGGAGCACCTCATAACCTTTAATGTATTTTCTCCTCACAACACCCCTGGGAGGTCAGGAAGTGCTATCATCTCATTTTAAATGGGGATTGAGGTGCAGACTGGCTAAGTGACTTGCCCAATGTCACAGAGGAAGTCTGTGGCAGAGCAGGGACTTGAACCCAAGTATTCCAAGGCTTAAGCCAGTGCCCTAGTAAACAGACTAGCCCTCCCATTTCCTTCTGATTCCAATTCTCTATTGTGAGGACACTAGAATCACTTGGTCAGCAGCTGCTGCTTTTTGAGGGAACGATAGCAGCAACGTGACGCTGAACTAGGGTGACCATATTTCCCTATGCTGAATATGGGACACCTGGTAAAATTACTCGTGCTCAAGCAAATTCAACGGCAATCAATCAGAATTATGCAGTACAAACATTCAAATTAACATCAAGTTGACTGAGCACCTGTTAAAAAGAAATACTACGTAGTTGGATTCTTTATATTTACCTTCTTATCTTTAAGGCTTTAGGGTTCACACTAGGGATGTAAATACCATTTAAAAAGTTAATTATTTAAACAATTAAAAATATGTCATTTAAACGGTTAACTGATTAAGCAGCTGGGACCAATCTCACCGGCTGGCGTGGCTGGGTCTGGGTCTGTTCCGGCTGGGGCCGCTCCGGCCGGGCAGCGCGGCTGGGCCCGCTCTGACCAGTGCGGGGCCGCTGGGGTCAGCTGGCCCGGGGTTAATGATTAAGGTGGGTTAACTGGTAAGACTATTGCTTACCGGTTAACCTTTTACATCCCTAGTTCACACGGGGAGGGGTGACACATACACCCCTACCCCACACAGCCACACACGGGGAGAGGTGACACACACACACTCCAGTACACCTCTCTCTCATGGGCGGGTGATCGACAACCTGACTGTCCCTGCCCGGTGCTCTCCGCCCTCCATGCCTGGCTGGATCCCTGGGACGGACCTGCCTCTCCTGGTACCTGGCACCGTATCTCCTCAAGGCAACATGCTGGGGGGGGAGGGAGAGAAGGAAGGGTCACATGCCCCTCCTCCCCAGATTTCTGCCAGGGTTGACACCAGAATGTGGCCAGCAGCAGCGTTTTGGCACTGTTTGGGAGGGAAAGGATCAGGGGCGGCTCCAGGCACCAGCGCAGCAAGTGCGTGCCTGGGGCGGCAAGCCGCGGGGGGCGGCCTGCCGGTCGCTGTGAGGGTGGCAGTCAGGTGGCTTTCGGCGGCATGCCTGCGGGAGGTCCGCCGGTCCCGCGGCTTCGGCAGCAATTTGGCGGCAGGGACGCCAATGGCGCGGCACCGGCGGACCTCCCGCAGGCATGCCGCCGAATCCACGTGACCAGCGGACCGCCCGCAGGCGTGCCACCGAAAGCCACCTGCCTGCCGTGCTTGGGGCGGCAAAAAACATAGAGCCGCCCCTGGAAGGGATGGGAGCTGCTTCCAGCCACAAGGGAGGAAGGGGGAGAATGGATGACCTGGCCTGTGTCTTTGCAGAGCTCATCTCTTCTTCCCCCTCCCCCGCCCCCCCATGTGTCTGGAAGCAGCTTGTCCCTTCCTGCCCGCACAGTGTCAAAAGGCAGCTAACACTTCCAGGCTGCTGCTGGCCATTGACATAACCCAGTGTCCTCCTGTCCCCTGGCTACAGCGCGGGCAGGAAGGGGTTAAGCCCTAAGGATGCTTTGTGCAACAGGGCCCAGGGAACCTGACTGCAGGGGCTTCAGCGAACCTGGCCAGAGAGACGTGGCTCAGCAGGGGAGGGTGCCTAGGGGAGGGAGCAGCCCTGCACTCCCTGGGGGCAGGACGCAGGTTGGGGTGTGTATGTGAAGAGGGTACTAAGCCCCTGCCCCAGGGGCTGCTTTGGAGCTTGCAGGTTCTGGGCGTGAACAGGCTGGAAATCACTTACCCCCCACTACTCCAGAGCTTAGCTGAGGGGCGGAGAGGCTTCCCTGTGCCAATGCTGTGTGGGGCTTTGGCACAGGCAGGGCTTGGCTCCTCCTGGCCAGTACCCTGGGCCAGAGGGTCTTTGGCTTTCCCGGGGTGCCGGCCCAGCCAGAGTCAGTAGGGGAAGGAAGGAGCCTGCCGGCCAGGCTGTTGGTGAGATGAATATGCTCCGACCAGGCACTGGTTCTCTGCACAGTACTGTGAGCGGGATGTGCCCCACTGGGGGGAGGGAGTATGAAGGAGCAGCGGGGTTGGGAGGAATTGTGAAGGGGCAAAGCAGGGAGAGGACAGTGAGAGGGGGAGCACGTAAAGGGCTGATGGGTGGGCAGCAGAGACAACACGTAACCAGCCGCCGTCTGGTGCCTCCCCACGCTCACCAGCCACCGCAGCTCGCAGTGCACAGCCAGTGCAAGCTGGAAATGGGATGGGGCCCTGCTGGCCAAGAGCTGGCATGCAGCGGAGGCTGCGCTGACAGACCAGTGGGGGAGCGGCCGGCCCCACGCACTGCATCTTTACCCCGCCACCAGCCTTTCCCACCCATCCCTATCATCGGCCACTGGATTCTTCCACGCACTGCTGGTGGACGGGTGGCTGGCGAGCAGGATCCAGCCAGCAGCAGGACCCACCAATACTGATGGGGGGATGAGGGAAGACAGAAAATAGAGGACAATCTGCCTGTTTTTAAGAAAAAGTCGGTACACTTGCAGGAGGGCTTAAATACAGGACTGTCCCTTTATAAACATGACATCTGGTCACCCTACACTGAACAGTTACATCCCAGTGCATGTGTCACTTTTGATGTGTTTATTTGATCACAGGTGGTCGCCATTGATGTGGATATGGCCTTTTTTGAACCTAAAATGAGGGACATCCTTGAACAGAATTGCACAGAAGACGAAGACTGTAATTTTTTCGATTGCTTTTCAAAGTGTGACCTGAGAATCAGAAAATGTGGGGCAGAGAGGGCCAACAACAACCTGCAAGTGAGTAGCTATAGATTTATTATGTGTACATTTCCTTTTTAAAAAGACCAGTCAGAGGCAGCTAAAGAATAAAACATATGGCATGAACTAGAGCTGGGCGAGGTCTAGACAAGTATGTTTGATGTACATTCATCAAACCCAGTTTTCAAAAGTGGCTGCCTAAGTTACATGTATAAACCCATCTCTGTGCATGCAAGCTGGCCCTAACATTCACCGTTCCCTTTCTGCATGTGTAATGTCTACCTGCATGTAAGAAATGTGGGATTTATGGGCCCAATTCTCTACAAATCTAAGCTGTGCACAGATCTAGTAGGGAGGGGGAGGCTCCAGGGCTCCAGCTTCTTGATTCAAGGGCAGCTGGCCCTGGAGCAAGGCGTTCTGCTCTAACTTACCCTGCTGACAACGCCAGCAGAGGATCAGGGGTAGCAGAGCTCAGCTGTGCTACATTCTTCCTGCCTGCTTTTCCCTTGTTGTGCTTGGAATGCAGGAGTGGGTGAAGTAACAGGGAGAATTCTCCACTGGGAATCTCTGGCTTGTTCAGGCCACTGCTCTACATAACAGAACAAAGCAGCCTTGGAGAATCTGGGCCTTGGTCTCCACTTTAGGCAGCGTCTACTGGAAACTGGGCTGATTATGGACAGAGAAAAATTATTTATCTTAGGGTTACCATATGTGGAGTGTCCAAAAGGAGGACACTCCACGGGGCCCTGGCCCCGCCCCCAGCCCCGCCCCCGCCCCAACTCCACCCCTTCCGCAAAGTCCCCGCCCCAACTCCGCCCCCTCCCCTGCTTCCCGCGAACATTTGATTCGCGGGAAGCAGGAAGCAGGTAAGCTAGGGGGTGGGGGTGGGGGTGGGGGGGGGAGGAGGAGGCCCGGGGCCCCGGCGTCTCTAGCCTGGCTCGGCTCGGGCCCTGGGGTGCCGGCCCAGCCCCCGGCCGAGCACCCCCGGGCCAGCCCCCGGCCAGCCCCGCCAGCCAGCACCCCCGGCCCCGCCGGCCAGCACTCCCGCCGGCCCCCAGCCACCACCGCCGGCCCCCGGCCCGGCCGGCCAGCACCGCCGGCCCCCGG